TCTATGTCCATTTTTATGCAATATTAAAATTTTATATTATAGTATATAATGTGTATAATGATATATAAAATTTAATTCTAACGTTGTATATAAACAGACATTCATGAATACGAATTACAATTACATTTTATGTGTATTATAACGTATATGTACACACACAATGACACAAAAAATATTATTCTATTATTCTATTAATGAAGACATATAAACATTCATATGTTAGTGAATTAATGATATATGCAATATTAAAATTATATTTTGAGTACATTATTGTGTATATGTACACTATAATACATATAAAATATAATTATAATTTATATTCACTAATAATGTTTTTTTATATGTTACAACAATGTTAGAATTATCACAGTATAATATACATAAAATTTTCTAATTAGATATACCATATAAGTCGACATGTAAGTACTATAAATATCTATCTCTTTTTATTAGACAGAGCAAAAAGAGTTACATTATGTATGTGCAATGTATTCATTTATTGATAATATATTATCATAATCTGGCATTGGATGTAAGAAAAAAGTGTTACTACTTCGTATCGATATAAGTATTAATTAAAAATCTGTACTTTATGTATATTACAGACTTTTAGTATTGGTGGTATATATTGGAATACGGCCTACATTGCATGTGTACATAATACAACTGTATTTCTAAGGCTGATTCTACAAATATAAGATTAACTTCAATTTATTTTTTTCTCAATTCTAAAATTAGAAAATTTTCCAAAATAAAATAAATCTTACATTTGTGGAACCGACCCTAATACATGTTTTTATCCCTGCTAAAATGGTAATGGAGGAAACGGAATAAAAATATCTATATTTAATCGATCGAATTTCCTGCATGATCATATAAACTCAGAGGGCGTAAGCATCTTATACATTAGAAATGAAAACCTGTAATATCGACCATGATTAACTTCAGCCTTCGCTCCAGCATCTCCTTAAGGCTTAAAACACCTATTGTAGATTCGGATTTATTAGAGCGAGATTGTGAATTAAGGGCACAGCACAGATTTTTGTATAACGTATAACGTATAGTGCACAAATGAATTAGAATCTTTTCTTTCATGCTATTCTATGAAAAAAAAGAATTTCGATTGGTTAATTCCCATATACATTATGCATTATGCGTTATAGGCCTTCTACAATAAGCTATTAGTCAATTGATGACTGTGATTGATTAATTTTTAGCTTCTGTCTTCTAATTTATGATTAACAGCTTATTAGCCCATAGACGAATTAAATTATTAGAAGTTCCATTATACAAGTGTCTGTGCTGCAGCCATTAATCTTATAACAGAGAGAAACCTGGAAGAGGACATGACGATCTTTTGCATGTTACCGTAAAATGCTCTGCGCCCTCTGAAGAAATGGATATCACCTACACAGTAATATCTACTTTTTTTACTGTGCCCTTGATGGAAATAAATCGCTGAAATAACTAAAATCGTTGAAATCTCTGTTAATTTGATGAATTTTAATTATTTCAGCTATTTCATAGAAGTGTTTTAAAAACCGATATTCAGGTTTGTATCGATATGTGGAAATATCAAGCGACGAATTATTGATGCAAATTATTGCCATATCACACACAACATTAAATTCTTCAATATCGAGGATATTGGATTACAAAATGGCTCATTATTATACAATATTTCAAGGACTTGATGTCTTTCTAAAAGATATTTTTATAAGAATTTAGTCATTTTTTAGACGACTTTGTGTTCTCTCTTTCTATTCATATCATAATGTTTATTGGAAAGAGCCTAAAGCATATAATTATTCAGATATTTATAATTAAAAGACGAAATCACTAAAATTGTTTTTTCTTGATTTTGTAATTCTGAATATTAAATATTCACGCGTAAAAGTGTCTAATGCACGTAGAAGTGCCATCCGTCCTTTTTTTTCCGGACACCGTTCTCTTTTTTAGATCGTCCGGAGATGCAATCCAGAGGAATTTTTTAAAAACGTCCGAGATATTTATAAGTGTCTGAGGTTTTAGGGAATCATAAATTTCTTACTTTAACTTTTCTCCCGCGTTAGTCTGTATTAATCCTGATTTACAATAGATATAGTAAGTCTTATGTTGTAAGAAACTGATCAATTACAATTGAATGTGAGGAGAATAATAAACTATACATATATGATTGGTCAATTTCTTACATTAAATTAGTAATGAACATTAGATGTGAAATAATTATTCGTTTATTATTTTGATATATATAATTTTACTAATCTACATGCATCCGGGATTTCAAACGAAATACCCGGGGTTTTTAACCTGTAAGTTCTAATTCTAGTTTTGAAAATTTTGATTTGGGCTTATGTCCTTTTATTATTGTTAATTTTAAAAAGCAAAACATTCAGCGCAATTTTAATATTCTTGACTTCCGTCATTATTTTATCATCTAGAACAACTGTTTAAATTTTCTTTCACTTGCCGAACATTATATAATTTATCCTTACACATTCCGTGTCGCGTTAATTTTTACGTCACCCGTAACCTATGCATAGAAAATGTATTAGTAATACATTCTCTAGAGATGTGCGATTTTCAAAATTTTGCATCACGATCTTTTTTAAATATTGCAATAAATGCGATATCGCATCACAATTTTTATGTGTGTATATTATACATTTATTCAATTATCCATTTTTGTCACATTAAAAATCTTTGGTAAATTCAGAGCAGTGATAGCTGTAAATAAAAAATATTAATTGTTAAAACGCAAATACGATAGCACGTGTTTTTTCATGTAATAGCATTGAAAAATCCTTAATAAAATTCGGAATAAGTTTTTACAGAAGAAATCTTTCATGAAATAAAACATTATATCGATTTTTATTGCACGGTAGTCAAATTATTTGCATGAATTAAAAAAATTAAAAAGAGTAATTAGAATATTAATAGAGTAAGTAGAATATTAATCGCAGGTGCGATTCTAAATTACATGCAATTTTGCGATTACAAAGTTACACATCGCACTAGTATTTAAAAAAAGAAAATCGTGGTGCTTGCAATATACTATATTGCAAAATCATACATCTCTACATATTACTTGCCAAACGTTTCTTCTGAAAATAAAACTATTTGCACTTATATATTTTTCAGTTCGTCTATCTCTCGCGAAAAAATTATCAGGTCGAAATATCATTACCGACAAAACTCGGTGACATGTTCCAGACTTTAACAGATGAGCTGCCGGAGAACTGTCCGATGATCATCTCCAAAAAGTAAAATGGTTTGCCCACCAGAAAGAGCAGGATTACGTACGGAATGAGAAAGGCACCGCCGCCATTTTCATAAGCCGTAAACGGAAATCGCCAAATATTACCAAAACCGACCGACACAGCGATACATGACATAAGGAATTCCACACTGTTGTTCCATGTTGCGCGCTCTTTACTTGAATCAATGACTTGCTCGTCCAAAACGGCCGTTGAGTTTTCAAAGTAACACCTTGTCTCGCCATTTCCAACATGGGACTCATCTATTTGAAAGATGACGTTATCGAGACCCAGTTCTATCTTTTCCCTCTGCAATTATGTGCAAACGTAGCGTTTAATTAGACAATTCAATTGATATTTATCGCAATAAGTTCTTTGCAATATTTTAAGATATTTATTAACATTAATTAAAACTGACGACCTTTCAAATTCGTATCTATTGGCCCTAACCAATACTTTTATCGCATGCATTAAAATTAGATATCGGATTCATATTTTCTTTATATGTCTACATAAAATGTATGAAACAAGTAAAAGATTAATTAAATTGACATTAAATTAAGGATTAACTTAATTTGTAATGTTATTATTATTAGAGTATGTTATATTATTATTATTATTATTTGTATGTTATTATTATTATAGTTATTATTACTATTATTAATATTATTATTATTATTTTATTATTATTATTAGTTTTAGTCTTATCAGATCGCATTTCAAATCTGACAATAATCGACGAACAATTTGTTCAACTAAAAAATGTATTTAAAAATTAGAAATTACCGGTCTAATTTAATTTATTATTTACTTCACCAATTTATTTTAATTGTTTTAATTGTCTTATTCATTTCATATGAATACATTTCACATAGACACATAATAAAAATGAGAGTCCGCTATTTAGTTTTAATGCATGCGATAAAAATATGGGTCAGTGCCAACAGGTATGAGTTTAAAAGGAAACGTCTATTCACAAAACATGTTTTTCTCTCTGCAATCGAATCATGCGAGATTAAAGTATAATACCTATATACACGATAATAATTGTATTCTACGAGATATTCGCGTAAAAGAATGTCGAAGAAAATGGGATAGCAAAGATATCAAATGACGGCTTTATCGCGAATACTCTTGGATGAAAATCCTTTGTAAACTATTCGGCAAACATTAAAACTATTGTATCTGAAAATTAGTCGTTACACTTGTGTTATTAACATTGTTAACAATGCGATTATTTTTATCTTATTTCAAGATTATTATTATTTATTTACACAAGAGTTATCACATATATCTTTTTTTTTTAAATTCCAGTTTTAGCCCGACATTGCGAAGCTGATACTATGATATATTATTATGATATATTTAAGGTAACTTTCACTTATCGTTCACTTATCGTTCGTAAGCCATGAAATACATAATAAAAAAAACGAAAAGTGCTTGACACGACAAAGAGATTCAAAATAGAAGAAGTGAGAGGCATTGATTCCACGCGTGTTCTTACGTTCACCTCGCGCAAATATTATTAAATAAAACTATTATTCTCACGTTGTCATTATGGTCATTAATCATATTGTTACCGCATTAATATTCATATCACACACTTTACTTCGCTCAACACTTCCCTATTTTTTAATCCAATCGTTTATATTTATACCATTTAATGTCTCTTAATACAAATCGTTTACTTACTGTCTTGTACATAGCGTAGGATGACCACGTTGAAAGATACGAATAAGAATCAAAATCAACCTATATTTAAGGCAGGAAACTGAGACGCGATCACTACTTCCGAAGGGATATCCATGAACGTTGATGCTACTGATGTAAACTGGTCGTCGGACCAGGCGACGAGATCTGCTCTCTCTCCCGCACAAATGTTTCGGAAGCTTATTTGATAAAACGATAACCATTACTATATATCGCGACGGTAGGCGGCAGAATACTGAGTGAAATACGCCGATCGTCTAGGTAGACGACCAGGTGGCAACTAGGTAGGAGCAACAGTGAATTATACGTTATGATTCGCACAAAGGGATAATTAGATAATTACGCGTACTCTGGATCCCACAATTCTCTATATAATAAGACAAATAAATTTGCATTTCAGTAAAAGGAATCTCCACAAAAAGATCATGATAAACGAAACGGAATATATTTTCCTTTACGCGATCAAAAATAAAATTAATTTTATTCGATAAGGAAAAAAATGTAGATGATAGAGAGACGGAAATTTCCTCCCCACAAATAACTAGAGACGAAGAAGATACAATTTCGTAATAAAGGATAAACTTATGAAAAAAAACGAAATGATGAAAGATAGGAAGAATAGGAATTCCCTCCCGTTAATCGATTAATATACAGATATACAGATGCACACGAAATAATTTTTAGGAAGGGATTGAAGATTCTGCAATTGTACACTACGATCGAAAAAGGCGTTTTTTTGTATTGTTTCTTTTTATTTGCAATAATAACGTACATACGTCACAGTTGCATGATGTTATCATATGTCACGCTTCGGGTACAATGACACGGAATCCTTTCTAAACGAAAGGAAAACTAGTGAATTCCTTCAGTGTCAAGAACTTATCTTGCACTACTCTTGCATAATAGAACATCTAAAATGTTCGTAAATTTAAAATGTAAATGTAAAAGCTTGTCAGTATAAATCACAATGTAAATTTTATAATTTTTCAATTATTGATAATTATGTACATATATTTAGAGGCAATGCTGTCGCGATATTGTTTCTTCTCATAGGAAATCGAGCTTGTAAAATAGTTCATGCATTTTAATCTTTTTCTTAAAATTTTTTATTTTGAAAAACAATGTTGCTCTTACCTGCATTGCATATGATGTACTACATTCACTAGATCATGGCAACGTAAGATTCTTCACAAAGTTTAAAAACATACAGTTATGTAACAAGAACAACTAAGTTGCGATTTGTACAAAACACGAAGAACAAGAATACTTATTATCATTATTACACATAGTTATTGCCGTGATATCATAATAACATACATGTCAGTAATTGTAACACTAAATTTCGTCGATTGCAAATATGACAGCGAATATAACGTATGTAATTCTAAGTCATTTTGTTGACCTCATCGTTCACTCGTTCATAAATATTATTTAATATTAAGCAATATTTCAAGCATATTCCTTAGACTATTAAATGTAATTTTAATAACATTTTACCAAAATTATATTAGGTGTTGGAATTAATTCGTAGCGTTTTACAAGTGATGGGAAGTACTTTCATTAATGTATTTTTTAATGCTCATGTGAAATAAATAACATTCTTTCATTAAAAACGCTACGAATTAATTCCAACACCTAATACATTATCAAATAATATTCCTGAAATATTAATGGATGTATATCCACTTCTGATAATATATAATTATTAAACGTAACATCATTTGTTATTGTAATTTGTATTTGTATAAACATTAAAAGGTATTATAATAACATTTACTTTAATTTGTAAAAAAAACTATTACCTCAGTTCAGTCCAAAATTACATTTAAAGACTGAAAATAATTTTGGTGCGTGAAAATTGTAGAAATTGTGGATATGTACATAAAATCACACCAAAATATTATTTAAGTATTAAGATGCAGTGTAAACCGATAAGATCTTTTTGTTATTTATTGTAAATTTAAATTATAACAATAATAATAGTAATTAAATAAGTGCATCTATTACAGCGCAGATTCCTAATTGCCTTTATTTAATTACTATTATTATTGTTATTTTATTATTATATAAGGAATATTATTATGATTTTTTTATATTTATTCAAACTGTACTTATATAAAAATACTTAATATTAATAAATATTTTAATAATATTTGAAGGATATTAAAGGCATAATAACAAGGATATTACGTAAAAAAGATGTAAAACATATCTATAGAATGTTCCCATAATATTAAAAAATATTATATTCTCGAAATATTA